CCGCTACCTCCCGACGACTGGTTTGTCATTGTGGTCTGCAAACCCCACTTTTGACCTCACGGCAGGCACACAGCTATGGTATGAAGTTTTATACATGCCCCTGAAGCATTGTCGATCAATGCAGATTTTTCCGATAGGCGAACAGTTTCTCTGATGCTGAGGATGATGTTGGTAGCGATTTGCGAGTTTCAGATGACGAAGGGCAGACACGGGAGTTACAGTGTGTCATTGTTAGAAATAACATAACCATTATGTTACTCGTCGTGGTCATAGTTTTACAGTTTTTTTTTCATTCTGTTTCTCCTAGCTAGTGGTTGAGTTGTATTTATGTACTCTGGGCTATTTTGGATGTACGAAACTGTATGAGTTCCTACGTCTTTATGTATGAAAACACGACTTCATATGGCTTGAGGTGCTTTTTTATATTTTACATTTTATGCTTCTAAAATATATATTTGTAAATTTTAATCTGAGTAGATGAATTAATATTTGTATACATTGATATATAGATAGAAATAAATTTTAAACCTATATGTTTTCAAAATTACAAAATATTTTTTAGAAATTATCTATAAAAATGAATATTAAAAACAATTTATTTCATTTAATTAATTAAAAAATAATATTTTTATAAATTTTATGTATATTACACTCATATTTATACAAATAAATCAAAAATTAAAAACAGTTTTAACAAACAGGGACAATTTGATCTTTTTTACATGAAACAGCTGGCTCATAACATTTTTCACGCAGCAGCATCAAACATACAGCCAGCTTCCCCGCAGCTGCTTCCTAGGGCAGCGCAGCTGCAGCTGAAAAGTTCAGAAGTTGCAGCTGCGCCAAACAGACCCTTAAAGTTAATAAAAAGATTTTGTGTGTACGCAAGGAAGTAAAATCTTGAGCAGGTAGAAGAAAACTTGCAAAAATAAAATTGCTTAAGTCAAAAAACGAGTTCACACTCACCTGAAAATTCAGGTGAGGAGTCTAGAACTCTTATCTTCTTCCTCTTCTGGTGTTGATGACAAGGAAAGGTGTAATAAATATCTAATTCAAGAATATGTAGCTTAAGGGAAGCTATCATCACCCTATAAAATTTTTATATCTAACATTGATAGCGTGCAGATTCCTAAATTCATTAATGAAACCCTTAAAAATCCAGAATGGAGGAAATCAATTGAAGAGAAGATTCAAACACTAAATCATTATGACACATAGATTCTTACTAAGGCTTCGTGTTTGATGAAGCTCCTTCGGAAGCCCCGTTGAAAATGGGACCCCTTAGAAGCATTCTGAAATGGCGAAATATTCATGGTCTTCCACTTCGACATCCGGAGACGTTCAGCAAATGCTCGTTTGCAAAACGTCTATTTTCCAGGTGGTGGCGTTGAGTGCGATCAAATAGAAGGCGAGAGCCTTCTCAAACAAAACCTAAATCTCCTTAGGATAAGAGGTCGGTTGGATACAATGGATATTCAACATCAAATACAAAACTGATTGTGGTATTGAGATATTCAAAACTAGACTGGTTGCAAAAAGTTCCACTCAAGCTTATGGGATTGACTATCAAGGGAACTTTGCACCAGTTATCAAACTGAACACTATTATAGTTTTCCTCTCAGTAGCAGTTAACAAGGAGTGGAGACTGCATAAACATCACATAAAAAATATCTCTCTAAATGAGGATTTTGAAGAAGAAGTGTACATAGAGATACCACCATGACTTAAGAATGATTTCAACAAACACTTAGTATGCAAACTCATAAAGTCTCTTTATAGCTTTAAGCAATCACCAAGGGTATGGTTAGAAAGACCTGCTAAAACTATATGTGATCTAGTGAATATTTTTAAAGCCAAACTGATCATACAATATTCATAAACATACTTAGTGAGATAAGATTGGCGCGCTAATAGTATATGTGGATGATAAGATTCTTAATGGTGACGATGAAAGGGAATAAAATCAAAGATCTAGAAACCATGAGATATTTCTTAGGTATGGAGGTAGATCCAAAAGGGCATTGTTATATCATAGAGGAAATACAACCTTAATTTGTTAAAGGAGATCGGGAATATTAGATGCAAACTTGCTGAAACTCCAATGAATCCTAGCAAAAATTCTAATAGAAAAGAAAAAAGTAAATCTGTGAATATGGGAATATATCAAAGATTGATAGAAAATACTAAAATTGTGAGCAAAAAAAAAAAATCTTAAATTTTTACCTTATTGCTAATATACATTTATGTTTATTGAAGACTTGTATGTATATGTGAAGCCCAGCTAATTTTTTCTTTATTTTTTATAGTATTTAATAGAACCAACTGCACTTGTATTTTATTCTTTTATACTCTATCACAACACAATTTTATTAATATTTTGTGATTACCTATAATTTGTTCGATTTTTTCCCTTTTTATTTGCTATTGTGTAAATTATTTGATATTCATGCGATTTGTGGTACGTTGTTTAGATAAATAATAATAATTTCTACAAACTAGAGTAAATTGGTTACTCATAAAAATTAATTTATAACCACTTAAAATTACATTTGTCTTTACACACTTCTAAATTGAAAAGTTTTATTTGTATTTCTTAAATGAGGTAAAAAATATAGCTTGCCAACAATCAAAGTCCCAAGCTTTAATGAATATTCATAACATTGGCAAATATGAATGTATAAGAAAATCTTTCCTACTTAAGAACAAATAGTTTTCATTGCAGATCATATTTCTAATGATGGAACTTCTAATATAAGTGCAACTTTAATTAAAAGACCTAAGGGTCTTAACATGCCAGTTAATGGTAACACCGATAGGGTTATCAAAAAAGCTCGTCATCCGCAAACAGCTAGTGTTCGGCTCGTTAAGCAACCCACGTTCAATTCATTCATTAAGCAAACAAGTCGAACACGAATAACTTTTTTTAACTCAATTTATAAATGAGTCAAACACATACAAACTTTTGTGCAATCATGTCCGGCCTGTTTTGGATCAAATTAAATAAATAATAAATAAATGTCCCTGAGATTTTTCTCTCCTACCACATGATCCCTGCCCCATTTATTTAATTTAGGTGTTATATATGTAAATACATAAGAATTGGGTGATACGTATGTAGATGCTTTGAGATTTTTCCCAAGAATCCAACCCCTAATGCCTGCCCCTAGTTTTTTTTGCATTCATTACATATGTAAATACATAAGGATTTGGCAGTGTGTGTAAATAGCATCTAGTACTTCGCCCTGCCTGTTCCGGCCCAACCGCTTTCTACATTCAGTCCCACATAGCCTACATAGGAAATAATTTGACTATCAATCCTCTTTAAATGAAGAAGCAAAGGTGAAAATTAAAAAGTTTCTAGTTGCACGACTATGAAGTTGGGATGGGATGTACTATATTTTGCGTTCATTAGAAAATGTTTTAAAATAAAAATTTTAGTTCAAGTCGAATGAGCTGAAATGAACAAATATGAATTTGAATCGAATCAAACAAAAACTCATTATAAACGAGTTATTTCGAACACCAGCTTATTTCGAGAATGGGATCGCTCAAATTTGGCTAGTTTACACCCCTAAACACCGGCCTGGACATAATCATAAGTCCATTTAAATAGCTCTGATTACCTATAACTAGCCTCTCTTCAGTAAGAAGTCCTTATACATCTACATATTATAAATCCTATATCTATCCAATCCATTGCTTAAAAATCAACTATCTAAGAATCTCATTTTTCTTTCTTTAGTTTAAGATCACAAGATTAACTATGAATTGCTAACAAAAAACTCATAGTTAAGTTGGGTTGGCCGTCTTCAAGACTAAGAGGTTTCAAAATTAATAGCCTATAAGAAAAGATCTATGAAATCTTGATTAGTTTATTACCACAATTTTTGGATTTCTACCACCACTGTCACCCCATTGAGCTCATTATACTCCTCGAGTCTTTAAAACTTCAATGATTGCTATTGCATAAAATTATTATGTAAGAAAATAGTTATCTCACTAAGTTACAATGATTCACCTTTTATCTTCTATACAACAAATTTTAAGGCATAGATTATTCTATTAGAATAATTTTCCTTAACATAATCCCAAGAAAATCAAAATAAAGATCTATTTGTCTATCAAGAATATCTCTTGAGAATGACCTTGAGTGAAATTAATCTTATGGAACATAATTACTTTAAGAGGCAAATTGTACTTAGATTCTATATTTGATTTAATTTGATTTTAATACTATGATTTTTCATTAGTATTTTACACATATTAAAATAAGATTTATTGGTCATAACACACTAAATTTCATCATGCCCCTCCTATGAAATCTAATATACCAAAAGAACACACACATACTGTAATTGAGTTTCCTTCAACGCTCATCCACGGTAATTGCCCTTAACTTAAAACTCGCTAGGAATTCTCACATAGTGGACAATTTCTAGTAATACTTATCATGTGTTAGCTAACTATAACAAATCTCATCATGTACTTTTCTTATAATTCTTTGTGAAGTACATTATGTACTACATATCTCACCTATAAATTGGAGGCCATAAGCATGCACAAGAGCATGGGCAATTTGACAGCAGACTATTGAGACAGGAGACTTATAATGCAATCATAGAGTTTTGGCTCCAATTTCTCTCCTGAGCTCAGTTTGACTTTCTCAAAGGGGTCAATCAAATATGCTATAAACTAAGGCCACTTAAGAGAAGCTCTAAACCTAAACTTCTCTACCTTCTCTCTTTTTATGCACCTCGAGCTCAAAATGTAATTTAGTGGTTTCTCAATATTTTTCACAAGAAGCATTAGAATCAACACATAAAGAGCATATATATATATATGCTAGCATCAATCAACATAATACATTCTATTAATTACGTACAAGTCACATGTAGTTATATGCACCAACATTTTTGCATGCCTAAAAAAAATGTAACCAAAGTATTATCATCAAATAATTCATATAATACAAGATTCTTTAAATAAGTTTAAAAGCTCACTCGAAATTCCTTTGATAAGGGATTGATCATTGTTACAAGACAAGATTCCATCCCATGGCTATGAATAACAGCCCCAGCATTGCGCATTTGATAAGCCTACAAAAGCCAAAGAAATGAACAGCACTGTCTTTAAACAAAGACTGGTAGCATTTAAAGAATAAACATTCAGCCTGCATGATTGAGAGAAGATTCAATGAAAAGTTTTCACATCTTGTATGAGTAATAAGGTTTCAAGTTCATATAAAAAAGATAATAAAGAGAAAGAGAATGCAGATAACTTGAGTCATGATATCCTGACCTATCATCACTAAATTTGGTCAGATATTCTGGTTTAATTTTTTTTCCCAAGAAAATAAGAAAAGTAGAGAAGTATTGTGTTAATCTCTTTTCACTCTACTCCAATAATTACAAAGAAATATAATAAATAGAAAATTAATCAATGAAACTAAATTGTTGCAGCACATGACCCACCTTACTAATCATTAATAGCTAAATTGAAAGAATTCACGTTGCATTACTAAAAAGAATGCAGCAGTCAACCAAGAAATTCATCTCTTTAACTCATATATGCATCAGATCCTAAAGCTGCTCCAAAGAAAAAAATCATCATATCAATTCAAACTTCTAGATCATAAAAAGGAAGCGTAACTAACTCACCTTCGAGTTTGGGACAAAAAACACGCCCTTTAGATAATTAAAATCAGCATTCTTTGCTTTTACCAAAATGCTTACATGAAGATCTCCAACATTTTGCCAACTAACCTTACCTTTGATAGACCAAAAGGGCCTGCTTATTTGGGAAAAAATTGGTTATTTGGGATTAATTTATCGCTAGTTAATTTTATCCAGGCCTAAGTCATGCCAATTCCTATATTAACGCTAGCGGGCAGCTTGAGATATCATCGGACAAAGCTTCAATTTGAGCCATTTCATTAACACATAGTAATTTAGCTTTAATTTCATGCCATCCAAAGCAAACTAGAACAATAGATAAAAGGGACATTTACATATATAGCATGGAAGTTTTGGGATCTATTTGGGGTAGCTGCAGCTGTTTAAATAAGTAGTTGTTAAGCTGCTGAAAAATAAGTTTTTGTTCAAAAAGTTATTGTGACTGTTACCAAAAAAAAAACTTTTTGAAAAATTCAGACCATTGCTTTCTATGAGTCACCACGGGTAGCCAGCCCTGATGTGAAAACACAACTTTCAACTACACCTTCTTGAAAACGCAGACAAAAGCAATTTTGCCAAACAGTAAATACTGCAGTGCAGCACCGCTACCACACCGCCGTTTAGAATGCAGTACCAGAAAAGTATGATTTGAATCGTAATCAAGTAATTGACAAATTTAATCAACAAACTCAAAAGAAACCGAAAAAATGCAAACGCGTGAGGACATAACGCACCTTCATGAAAAGTGGGGCGCAATCAGAGCACTTCGGAGGTTTATTAGGGTAGGGCTTCGTAGCAGGCACCGACAAAAAATCACCATCGCCGGAGAGCACGTACATATCATCCGCTACCATCCTCTCTTTCTGCACTCCTGCAAACGCCGCCGATCGATTCAGCGATCTCTGGAGCGAGTGTAAGAGTAAGAGAGGGAGTGGAGAAGAGCCGTACGAGTACCTGAAGGTGACATGACGATAAGCTGGTGGGCCTTTGGAATAGCGTCGTCGTGAACTCTGATGGTGATACTGCCACCGGTACCGGAAACCCAGCCGAGTGTGTAGAACTGTCGACAGAGATCAGCGACTAATGCCCTTGTTTCCCGCACCGCTACTCCATCGATGTAAGCCTGCGATGAGAGCACGGCGAAGGCTTCCGCTTCAGTCATGACCGAGGACGATAGTGATAACCTGAGGTGGAGCGGAGAGTTTAGGCTGACGGAGTAGAAGAAGAGAGGGTGACAATGCAGGTATGGCTCTCTTTCGTATATATTCGATGCGTGAAGAGAGGGTGACAGTGCAGTTGTGGCTCTCTATCGTATATATTCGATGCGTCTTTTTTGAAGTTAACCTGAGCGATAAAACTGAACTATCTAACAGTATCTCTCTTATGTAAGAAATAATATTTTTTATCAGGGAGCATTTAATTGGTATATACATACCACTCAATTCTTATGTTTAGAACCCTAACATCTAAAAATTCAAATTATCATCCATAACTCTTAATTCCATAAGATCATATCAAAAATATCATGATTAATCTTTTTAAAAATAAAATACACATTTAATACATAAATTTATGACACCAAGCTATTATGAGTGTTGATACATTTCCAACAAATCTCTATCATTCAGCCAGAATCTCGGGCATGACATAGATCTCGATGAAACTTTTTGAGTCAAAAATATTCAAACTTCAATAAAACCTCATTCAGAACTCTGATTTCAGCAAACTTACAATCAAATTGACCGGCTCGATAAGAAGATCTCAATGCTACCAAAAGTAGTTCAATCTGGGTCAAATCAAGCTCAGATCAAGTCATTAAACCACTCTTGAAAATTTTTTAGACATATTTAGAAGGTTAAATGAATGTCGAATCTAGCAAGCCTATAATCGAATCGAGCATCTCGACAAGACGAATCCAACGAGCCCAAGATTGGTCAATTCCTATATCATTCAGGCACTCAAATGTCTATCAAATGTTATCTGATCGAAGGAAACACTTTGGACCGTCCAATCAAAGTGATTCATATTCCTGCATTCATTGCGCCCAAAACACTATAAATAGAGTCCCACCACTCCCATGAGAGGAGGTTGTAGGCTTGAGAGAGAAATTAAAACTTTGATAAAAAGCTGAAAAAGAGCATCACATGTCATCGTCAATCGTCGTCAGTCGTTGTAGACTACCGTCAATCATCGCTGACCGTCGTTGATCATCGACAACCGCCATCAATGGTCATCGACCACTACCGACCGTTGTCAATAACCACCGACCGTCGTCAAGCACTACTATAGTCAACCACCACCAACCGTCAACGACCGCTGACCACCGTCAATCGTCATAAATTACTACCGACCAGCACCGATGAGAAGCCTCCAATCGACGTTGTAACTTGGCAAACCTAGTAATCATTTCTCGTTTGTGGGACAATATGTCTTTGTAATCATCAACATATAGTGGATTTTTATATATCTGAGTCAGATCTTGTGTTTTTTATTCCTTTACTGATTTTTCACGTAAAAACTTCTGGTGTAATTACTGATTGTTTTTTTTTCACCTAAGTGTGTGTTGAATTCATGTGCAATGCTAAAACGATAATTAGATACCCAACTGTCGTGAACTTTATATCACCCATCAGTTTGGCGTTATCTATGAGAAATAAAATATTCTCATCACTAAAATATTTATAAGAATTGTTACATGGTCACTAAGCGTAACAACATAGTATCTGAATCCAACAACCATCATTCCAGAAGACAGTCATGGAGCTAAGGTCATCAAGCCTCTGCATCCTTGTTGACCTCACTTTTGGTTGAGGTTTAGTTTTTTCCTCTTTAGTAGCCTAAGGTCTAGCCATAAGACTTTCCTGTTGACTATTCTTACTAGAAATTAGAAAACTAGAAAATGAACCCTCACCATTATAAATTCTACCCTCTTCTTTACTCAACTTGAATCTCTACAAATCGGTCCTAACCTCTAGGTGGGGTCATTATGGGGGAGCTTAAGGGTGGGGTCATTATGGGGGAGCTTCATTATGGGGGAGCTTAAGGAGAGTTCTCATAGGACTATTTGACCTTAGGAATAACTCTGGGTGTTTGTCTAGGGCTAGAACACTTACTTGCATTCACTCTCACTAACAATCACACACAACCCTAAACCCAAAATTTCCTAACTTTGATCCATTGATCATTTGGGAGACTCAGGTAGATGGTCCCCTAAACCCACTAGCCCTAGGCTAGAGTTTAGGTAAGACAAGTACATAGAAGCCCCAAATGAGGATTACATTGTTTCATAGCTCATCTATGGTGGTTAGCTTCCCAAATCTACCCAAAATATTCAACTTGGCCTTTTGCCCCAAAATCCCCCAAATTACCTAGATACCCTTTGATCCCAAATTTGGTCAAAATCCTCAAATTCATCCAAAATATCCAAATTTGTTCAAAAATCATTTCAAACCTTTTTAAAATACCCAAATTACCCAAAACTATCCAAAAATGCCAAATTTATCAAAATACCCTTAATATTACCAAAATTACAAAAATGCCCTTGGCGACCCAAACTTTTCCAAACCTCCAAAATCACTCAAAATGTTTCCAAAACCATTTTGGACCCCTCAATTAGACCCAATTTGGCCAATTTGATCATTTTGACCAAAACCCCCAAATTACCTTTAAAATACTCAATTTTCCCAAATTTACCTCAAATGTCCATCAATTTTACCTCAAATGTCCATCAATTGAATTCCCCTAAATTCACCTCAAATGTCCATCAATTTGGTCTCAATCTCCCCCAATTTCAAACCAAAACTCAAATTCACACAATTTAAACCAAATACAAGCTAAATACAAGCTCAATTGGCCCATTATTTTAGCCCAATTTTGATCTAGGTCAAACCCCCAATTTGGTCATATGGTCTAATCCCACAAAATTGAACCCCATGACCTACTCCATTGGCCTCAATTTGAATCATGAACTCTTCATAGCATTCCTACACATCAATCTTGACCTTCAATTGGCCTTGGTAAAGCCTCAATTTTATTTAATTCTGCAATTTGCCTTGGTGAAATTTCAACCCAAATCCAAATCAACCCAAATCCAAAAAAATCCCCAAATTTGCCCCAAATTAGTCATATCTCCAAATTTCACCAAATTGAATACCCTTACCCCAAAATTGGCACCCAATTTATGTTGAAAACTCTTCATGACATTTTTATTGACCATTTTTAACAATCAATTTGAACTTAGCCCAAGCCTAGCCCAATCTAGACCCAAGTCTAGCCCAACATGCTCAAAGTGACCAAAATTCTAAAATCCTTCAAATTGAACCCCAATTGAACTCAAAATCATTTCAATCCTTCACCAAAAATCTTCATTACAATCATCTTCACAATGTTGATCAATAATTTTGGCTAATTGACATGGCTAGCCTAACCTAAACCCAACATCTAGCCATTTTGACCCACATGAACCCATGCACCAAAATTGGCTTAGCCACCTAAAACCCCCCAACTTTATGACTCCACAACCACTAAGCTCCTCCTAAAAACTAGGCTAAACTACCCTAAATCCACCAAAGCATGCTATGGACCAATGGATCCCCAAATTAAGGGTTTCATTCTCTTTTTTAGGCTTTAACCACGAAATCTCCTCCATCATTGATTGTCATAGGGAGTTAATCATCGTTAGCCACCCTCTGATCTTCCTGAGTCAAGAGGTGACCACTCCCTGAAAGGCCGGCCACCTTGGTGGCCAGAAAATGGCCAAATCGAGAGCCACCACCCTTGAATTAAACCCAATCTTAACCCTAGGGGCCAGCTCACCAAAATCAAACCTTAGAGCTTTTTAGCCCACCACCTGTCGGCCGTTTTTTTTAGCTTCGTGGTTTGAAAAAAAAGTAGTGATTTTGTAATTTTGAAAATAATTTAAATATAAATATAACCTTTTTTTTATTTTTTTTAAATGTAACATTTTTATTTTAAAATAGGTGAGACCAAGCGGGTCTCACATTTAAATACACTTATCCCGACGAATAAATATATCACTTGTAATAGGGATTCAATCACCTAGACTAAAGAATTTCTGACATCCGTTTTGATCTATGAAATATTTTATAAAAAGACCAACAAGTTCCCCTATTTAACACAAGAGTTAAATAGGGCTTATTTTATCTGGGTTCCTGGTTCCCTATAGAGGCAAGCCCCTGTAGTTAATTATATCTTAAATGACTGGATGTCACTTAAGAAAACTCTCGATTAAGATCATGTAGTTTTGCCTTCAAGAATTCAAAGTTTAAGTTTTCACGATTGGACATTCACGATTGGACATA